TATATATATATATATATATATATATATATATATATATATATATATATATAATATTTTTATCCATATATATATTAAATAATTAAACACCTTTCTTCCTCCAGTACTTTATCAAAGGGAATTAGAATAAAAGAAATCTAAATAAAAGGAGTCATCTAACTGTGACAAAAGACAGAATTTGCTGTCTGAAACAAGATAACAACACCAGTTATACCACTGCTTCATCAACTTTGCCTGGGTTTTAAAGCATCCTAGAATTCTAAGCATGACGAATATTTATTTTAACAACGGCCGATTGGAAATCTTTCACATGGACTAAGGCCAATGTGCATAAACATAAATAAGATTCAAGACAGATACCCATCACGTAGTCTCTTCTGCTTCGTCCCTCTTAGTACGTAGACCACCTATTTAAACATACAGAGACTAAATTTTATTTTATTTGGATTGAATTAGGCCGATAAACCGCCCAATAACTGCCCGATAAGAGCTAAACTGATACCAATTCGCTCGATATCTTATCGGGTGGCTAGCGGATTAATACATTTAAAAGCCGATAACCGATAAGCCAAAGCGTTAAGAATAAATAACCGCCCAATTCGCCCGATAAACAGCCTTAATCTATAAAGCCTAAGGGCTAACTTTACTTCGAGTTCGAGTAAATCCTCACTCGATCATAAAAACCCAAGGGCTACCTTAATCCGAGTTCGAGCAAACTCTCACTCGGGGACTATCTATAAGCCTAAGGTCTAACTTTACTTCGAGTTCGAGCGAATTCTCACTCGATCATAAAAGCCCAAGGGCTACCTTATCCCGAGTTCGAGAAAACTCTCACTCGGGGACTATCTATAAAGCCTAAGGGCTAACTTTAATTCAAGTTCGAGCAAATCCTCACTCGAACATAAAAGCCCAAGGGATACCTTAACCCAAGTTCGAGCAAACTCTCACTCGGGGACTATCTATAAAGTCTAAGGGCTAACTTTACTTCGAGTTCGAGCAAATTCTCACTCGATCATAAAAGCCCAAGGGCTACGTTAATTCGAGTGCGAGCAAACACTCACTCGGGGACTATCTATAAAGCCCAGGGGCTAACTTTACTTCGAGTTCGAGCAAATCCTCACTTGATCATAAAAGCCCAAGGGCTACCTTAACCCGAGTTCGAGCAAACTCTTATTCGCGGACTATCTATAAAGCCTAAGGGCTAACTTTACTTCTAGTTCAAGCAAATCCTCACTCGACTGTTAAGCCTAAGAGCTAGTTAAACTCTAGTTCACATGGTCATTCGGGGTCCATCAATCTCGGTCGAAAGAACAAAGACCCGAGTATGGATTTCTTCAAAGGTCTCCCTCTAAGACCGACACTTGGTGCGCTCCTTAGCCCGAACCTGAGCGGTTTCCTTTTGCAGAACAGTTTTAGATGTTTTGGCCATTTTGTTTTCGTGAGCAAGGAAAATGGAGATTGGAATTTGGTATTTTGGGAAGAACAAGCAAAGAAGCTTGAAGATTCAATTCGTTTCTTGTCATTACACTCCAAAAAACGAAGGGACTACCTATATACGGTAGAAATCGGGGCTACCCGATTTCACTATTTGATCGAAACAAGGACGTTGCATCGAAGAGCTAAGGCATCGAGTTCGTGATCGAAGTCTCTTTCGAGATCGAGGTTGGTATCAATCGAAGCCAGGGGAGATAGACTTCGAGTAACATCGGGGATGGATTAGTAACGGAAAGAGCAAGATATCCGTGATTGGTCGAGGAACGTGGCGTGAATCTCGGAACCAACAGAACCGCTGACGGTTATGATACCAATCATGGATTTTTTGCTTCCGAAATTAGAGTGATACCTTATTTAGGATTACTCTACTATATAAAGAGGATTCCTGTTCATTTGTAGGGGGAGACAGACGAAGAAATAACAATACACTGCTCTTTTACTTGCTTATAACTTACTCTTATTCTTATTGTTCTTAACGCTTGATCTCGCGCCTGTTCCAATCAAGGACGATAGCTTGCAACTACACTGGTTTGATTCACCTTAGTCATTTAGTTTATTTATTTATCTAGTCCTTTATCAATTGGTGTTGAATCAAATCACGTATTCTTATAAACTACATTACAAGTTTAATTGTTACTCGTATTTCGTGTTAAACACTATCTTTTTAGCAACTAAGCCAATTGGCCTGATGGATGATTTTATTATCAATCAAATAGTTGTGCATAGTTTCATGGGCACTGCAGAATAACTAAAAGGGAAATTTTCGTTCCTATACCATATAGGAAACTATATTACGAAAAATATCCATAATTTGCAAATTACCCGTCCTGCTAACAGATTTTCTACAAATTATAAACAACTCATTAAAAATAGAATCCTTTTATCTGTACAATTCCTTTTATAGGCGCGCGAATGTTGGGATATTAAAGATTCTTCCAGATTTTATCAAACGCAAATCTCGCTATTACATTTCGCCCGTTTCTCTCCAAAACTCACTACTCTGTTTTTACGACAATACTCTGTTTCACTGGTTTTTCTGATTTCACAAATCAAAAGCGACTAAATTAGCTACAATTCTTCTCTAACAACCGCAATTATGTCAAAAATTCCAATTATGCTTCAACTGAATGGGAATTGGGATAGCTATGGAAGATATAGAGACTTTCAGGTCGATGGAATTGTAGTCGGCGAGGATGCGAGTTATAGCCTATTGAATTCTACAATAGCAGAGCATCTAATGATAGATACATCCGAAAAAATAATAGAAATCAAATACATTGTCAACGAAAATTGTCCTTCCAATGGAAATTAGGAACGATATGGGTGTTCGTGTATACATGGAGACGAAAAAGGAAAACAAAAGCTTAAGAACATATAACAGTGCGTGATTTCAATTTGGAATTGAGTATCACCGATTCGAACACAGTTGCAGGTTTGTTCTGTTACATTACTATCGAATTTTTGTTGTATATTACTTATCTACAAATTATCTACAATATTTCTACAATAAACTACATGTCAAAGCCTATATATATATATTAGTATTGAATTTCATTCTATCTACAATATTTCTACAATAAAACTACATATCATTTGTAGCTCAATATGAAATACAGAATTTCAATATTTCTACAAATTAACTACAAAATATCTACAAAAGACAAAAGATAATTTGTAGATATTTTGTATTCTGATTGTATATGAATTGTTTTTTATTTGTAATGTAATTGTAGGCGAGGGCTTCAATAGATCATATCCATACAGTGATAGATGGTGTGAAGCTATGTTGTTTGTCTTGAAAACAAGAGATGTAGCTGTGGGCAATTCCAGCTTGATGAACTTCCTTGTGCACATGCTTTGGCTGATTTAAGGCACNACAATTGCAAGTGCAATGAAGCACTATTCTGTCATGAACAAGTTCCAATTTAGGGTGAAAAGATCTAGTGCTAGAAGGTAGGAACATATGAATGGTCAAAAATCATTTTTATTTTTATTTTGTAGTTGTAAATTTTTACTTCTTCAAGTTTTTTTGTGATATTGTTTAACAAAATTGTAGATGGTTTGTAGTTGTTTTGTATATAAATTGTTGAATATGATCTTTTATGCTACAACAGTTTTTTTTAATCTACATTTTTTGTACCAGTGTTTAAATTGTTTTTATTTTTGTAGCTACTGGCTGATATGTGTTGGTGAAAATTGTACATGGCACTACAAGGCAACTAGCATAAATGATTCTGCAATGTTCAAGGTTAGAAAATTCAACAGCTTGCACACATGCTCTTTGACGGACAATACATTCATACAATGCAAACCTACTGCCATGGTAGTTGGTAGCATGGTTATTCGAAAATATGCTGATCCTAAGACATTTTACACACCAAAAGACATACAAACTGATACGTTGTCTGAACACGGGATGAACTTAACATACATGCAAGCTTGGAGAGAAAAGGAAAAGACTTTGGAATTTTTGAGAGGTCATCCTGCTGACTCCTACATCAAATTGCCTAGTTATTTGTATATTCTGGAGAAGACTTATCCGGGGTCTGTAGTTAAATTGAAGAAGACGGACGATGACTGCTTCTTGTATGCATTTGTTGCGATTTGTACGTCAATCAGTGGTTGGGAATATTGTAGGCCAGTTGTAGTAGTTGATGGGACCTTCTTGAAGTCGGCATACAGGGGAATAGTGCTAACAGCTAGTACAATGGATGAAGCAGGTATTGTAGATTTATTGTAGATATATTGTAGCTTGTCTGTTTTTTGTAGAACTTGTAAATTTATTGTAGATATATTGTTGAAACGTTGTAGTTTGTATGTATATGTCTTCCTTTGCATTTTTCATGCAGCCAATTAATTAATTTTTGCCACATAATGTAGGTACCATATTACCATTGGCATATGCTGTTGTTGATTCAGAAAATGACGCATCATGGAAGTGGTTTTTTGAGCAATTCAAACATGCATATGGTGAAAACCCAAATATGTGTGTTGTTTCGGATCGGAATGAGAGTATCTTGACGGCAACATCTATTGTTTATCTCGGCATGCCACATTACTCTTGCATGTGGCATATTTGGACAAATATAAGGGCAAAGTTCAAGAAGGGTCATCTAAAGTTAAGCGAATTGTACTTTGCCACGACACGATCATACACGCTTGATGAATTTAATGAAAGGATGTCAAAGATTGAAGAGATTGACCCGCGTGTTAAAGCATACTTATACGATATTGGGTATCATAGATGGTCTCGAGTACATGCTACGGTGAACAGAACTTGGACTATGACATCAAACATTGCAGAGTCGTTGAATGCTGTAACGAAAGATGCAAGAGAGCTGCACATAGTAGAACTATTCGAGTATATAAGGACTCTTCTTGAACGTTGGACTAAAGAAAAGTTATTGAAAGCAAAGGGTACATTCACATACCTTGAGTTTAAATACAACAAAGAGTTGGATGACAATAGAACATTGTCGCACAAGCTTAGAGTAAGATCTGACCATTTATTGCATCAAAATAAATTATTAAAAGACAATGTAGATAGTTTGTAGATATTTTATAGATATTTTGTATTCTGATTGTATATGAATTGTTTTTTGTTTGTAATGTAATTGTAGGTGAGGGCTTCAACAGATTACATCCATACAGTACTAGATGGTGTCAGACGCTATATTGTTTGTCTTAAAAACAAGAGATGTAGTTGTGGACAATTCCAGCTTGATGAACTTTCTTGTCCACATGCTTTGGCTACTTTAAGGCATAAGGATGAGTCTTATGAACAATATTTCTCTCCTTATTACACAAGGGAGAGCCTCTTGCGTACTTATGAAATACCAGTAAATCCCCTACCTGATGAAAGCAAATGGAATGTGCCATAACATATAACTGAAAAAGTTGTAAATCCACCTTTAGGTGAGAAAAGACAGCCAGGAAGACCTCAAAAACAAAGATACAAAACATATGATGAAGTAAATTCAAAGAAGTACAAGGTTTCATGTGACAACTGCGGAATAGAAGGGCATAACAAAAGATCTTGCAAGAATGCTCCCAAAAAGAAATAAAATTTTATGTAGTAAGCTGAATTTTTCATAAAAATTGTTGATGAGTTCATGAGAATTATATTTGATGTGTAATAGTTGAGGCACCTTCAACTCTAAATGTAGTTAGTTTGAAATTGTTTTGTTTAATTAGTATTCTGTATTTAGTTAATACTTTCACAGCTTGATTGGTTTGTGAATGATTTTTGTATATATAATACACAATTGTTTTATTATCTCTAGCACCCATCGATAGTTGTTAATGATCCCTACAATTTATCTACAAAAAAAACTACAAAATAACTATATAATCTGGAGTTGACTGAGTAACTACATAATAATTAAGTTGAAAAGGAGTTAACTAGTAGCAATAATTAGATGAAGTACTGTTTACTTTCAACAAGTGAATATAAAAACAACAGAATATTTCCCCATTGTTCGAACTAGTATACTGGATAAAATAAAAAAAATAAAGGGTAAAATAATTGTAGCACAAATATGCTACAATTAAACTTCAACAATCTTGTTCATAAACTTGTCTACTATCTTTCTACAAAACTAGCTGTAACTAAACAATTTAACTACATGTTCCATACAAAAAATTGCAACTAATTCTTCTTCCTCAAGACTTGTGTTTTCTCGTTCACAACTGGTGCACCATTTTTCCTTGCTAATCTGCCAGTCACCTCACTTTCACTAATTGCACCATTCTCTTACTTCTTCCTAGCGTAGTCCCACAGTAGTGCTCCATAGAGTCTACGATGTTGATCAATATCAGAAAGGTCATCCGCAAGAACTGCTAGGTCTCCGATGCTGGCATACTCTGCAAAGGCAGCAACATATACACCTCAGTCGCTGCAAAAATAAAAAAGTGTCAATATTAAGCAAACCATGAACAAAAAAAAATGTGAAATAGATAGAAAGAAATAAGATTTTTCATACAGTGATCCTTCTTTTTGCTGTGGAATCTCTCCGACGATCCACTGAATGTTAATAGGGCTAGTAACAACTTTTTCAATGTATGCCTTTGTGTTCTTGAAGTTGATGCCTGAACGCTTGTCATAAAAACCGGTGCATGACAAGTAAAGGGGGATCATAACAGAAAACTTGGTGACTACAGATTCAACAATAGGGTGATTATGTGAAGAGACCATAGGATCATATACATAAAGAACCCTATCGGCAATGTCAAAAACAATCAACAACCAGTGGAATTTTTCTACAATGTTGACGGGCATGATCACATAATCAACTTGATCCCATGCAACATTTGCGAGTAATCTGTACCCCCAATCTGTATTCTGCTACGAGGTACTGGGGTTTGACAACAGCAAACTTCTTTTCTTAAGGAGAATTGATGAACTTATTATAAATTTGTTCAATTCTAGTCTTGAACATACAATCAGTGGTAGTAAACCTTATCGTGTTGGGGGGGGGGGCATACTTTTCTCTTTTCCTCAAGTAGTATATTATAACATCAATGTGCTGCAACAAAAACAGATTGCATTTATGTTATTCTTTTTGGTAAATATCTACAAAAAATCTACAAAATAACTACAATTACATTTGTTTTAAATCAGTATTATAGATTATCTACATAATATCCACAGAAAAAACTACTATTTTATTTGTTTTTAATCATTATTACAAATTATCTACAATATATATACAAACTAAGTACAATTCCGTTTGTTATTAAGCATTACTACAAATTATCTACAAAACATTTACAATATACCTACAATTCAATTTATTATTAAGCATTTATACAGAATATCTCCAGTATATCTACACAATAACTACATATATTGGAGACGTCACTATAACAGTGTTATAGATACAAATAAAAAAAAGTTCAACAAAATAACTACATATTTTGAGTATGAGTTTACCGAGTGGTTGATGACTTGTCCGGGGTGTGCCAAACTATAGAACCACTCCTTCTTATCAACTTTTTCCACTCCAAGATCAAACCATGGCTTAATTTGGTTATCCTTTATAGAATACGGAGCCTTCCTAATATTTAAACAAATAGAAATTAAAATGAATTTGTTGAATGAAGTAGATATCTAAAAGATGAATACTAGAATCAAAGGGTCAAATTGTGTAAACTAACCTCTTTGAAGCTGTGTCGGTACCAAAGTATAACCACTTGTTGAATTCTTCCAACAACTCAGGATCAACATCTTGACCAATAACACTAGTAAATAGGTGCTTCAGGTGAAAAAATTGAGGTCGAACCGAAGTGCTGCCACCAAAACTGTATAAAGGGAGAAATGGTGATCGGGCATGCTTTCCAGGCTGCCTTGTTCTACCTTGATGCACAGGTGTTGTTTCATCTTGCTTAGGCTTGCCAAACTTAACCAACTGGGAGAAGTTATCTAGCAGATCAAAATCATCAAGTGTAACCTCCTTCTTCTCACCTCTGGAGTCGTCCGAATCACCTACATTTACATACTCGACTTGTTCACCTACATTAACATCTTCCTCATTCTTATGTTCTCCTTGAATTGTTACTGTGACTCCGTGAATTGGAGATTGTGCATGCATATCTTCCCTCACTGTTACATTTAGTATATCTAGCTTAATAGAATAGTAAAAAAAATTTGAAACAGAAAGCAAAAATTTCTGAATGTAATTTCATACCTGCATTTTCTTCATCAACTGCACCTTCAAAATGGGAATATAAATCAACACGTGCTGGAAGATTCTCATTATTTTCCAAGTCATTCACATGCCCTATTTTTTCGTTAAAGAATTTGAATTATAATGGATAGTAGTTGCTCGACAGTTTTAGGAGATATGTAGGTATATTATAGAGATCTACATAAATCTGTAGGTCTTTGTAAATATGCTGTATTTAATTATATATATATATATATATTGTAGATATGTTGTAAATGTATTGTAGATATTTTGAAGATATTTTGTAGATATCGTGTATATATGGTGTAGACAACTTGTAGATAATTTATAGATAAAATGTATTTATTTTGTATATACCTGTTTTGCTGCTGCTGGCATGCACTGGTTCTCCACTAGTGCACTGAAATTGTTGATTGTTCTTTTCTTTTGGGTGGTCAGCATTTTTTGTAGAACTCCCAGCAAACTGAAAGTTTTATATTAGTTAGGATATCTATTTTATGAATAACAATATAACTTAGAGGTGACAGAAATAGTTTTGTTAAATGAATAAACTGATAAATATTACCTTGGCATAAATGTTATCATTTCGACTGTTTATCACCTGCAAAACATCCTTGATTGACTCATTTAGTAGCTCTCGAAGGCTACCTAGTTCTACAAAGACATCTGTCCTGAAAGATGCAAGATCTAAATCAACCTACATATTAAAAATATAGAGAGTAAGCTTCAAAATATGGCTTAACATACATTAAAGAACAGATGCAATTTTATGTATACATGTTGCTTTCTCAAGAACTTTTTTAATTTTCTAATTTTTTTAAGAATAGACTTCTTGTCCTCTTTTCCAATTGACTCTTTGGGTTCCAATGGAGGAGCAACAACTTTCGGATCCTCAGAAATGTGTTCAACTTCTTCAAGTATGTACTCAACTTTATCAGGCAAAAACATCATAGAAAGCTTCAGGTGCTTCAGTTATGTTGGTGAACTGAATGAAAAAAAAAAACAAATTAGCTTGACTAAACAGAATATGTATACAAATTGTAGATAATTTGTATTAAATTGTATATTAATAAATAAAAATCATTTACCTTAATCCGTTCAGGTTTGATCATTCTATCTTCAGTTGCAACTAACCATATCTTGTCCTCACTAGCTGACCAGTTAAGTATGCGAGGGATTGAATTAGCAACTCTTATAGCTATATCAGTGTTGACGGTAGAGCAACACTCATACAACCATACTTGCATAGCTAGTGCGAATCCTCGAATGAGATAAGAATGAACAAAAGGATTGAGCCTGTGCCTAACTGATATAATCAATTGCTTGTAAGACTCAATACCCCATGCGTATGTCGCATACTGTCCGGAGTCCACCAAATAAAACCTAAAATGGTCTACCAACCCAACATTGTCTTTGTTTGAAGGACAGATGAAGAATTCTATGAGATATAGAATACATAACATGATTGCGTCCTCATCATTTACCCAGCTTTTGTTGGTTACAATCTGTTTTAGGTATGACTTCTCCACTTTTTCCTTGTTTGAAAAATAACTCCTCATTATCTTACTGTCATAATCCGGAGTGTAACCAAAGTCTGTCACTTCGGTAAAACATCTAAGACCAGTTATTAACGCAAACTCTCTCACGCCAAAATTCAACCTCTGACCCTATAACTCAGTGGAAAAATAGGAAGCACCAGATGTATTCAATTCATACTTCATTAGAAGATGAATAGCTTGGTTTTGCATACATATTTTGGGAATTGACAGCAAATAACCAAAATATGTCTTCTTGAAAAGCTTTAAACCATTTGGAGACAATAACTCTTTAATTTGGCTAGGAACACTAGGGTCGGATAATGTCTGAAACCTAAGGACCCCATAATCAACATTATGAGGTGCAAAAAAATGGCGATTCTACATAAAAAACAAATAATCTCTTATTAATACAATGCTCCAATCTAAAAAATAACATATCTACATTTGTCATACAATATATCTATAATATATTTACAACTACATAACAGTTAAAAACAAAAACAAAATAACTATAATTTTTTAACAATATATCTACAAGTTTAAACAGATTCAGAAAACTACAACTAATCCTCACAATGTAGACAAAATATCTACAAACCACAAAAAACACAGATTATGGAGCCTTTTAAGAATTAAAACAAACAAAAAAACTATTGT